GAAAGTCCAACTCAAAACAAGTTTAACGACGAGTTCCACCTTTTGTCGTTTATTCAGCTTTTTGTTCTTATAATAACATTTTTTAAATTTTTAATGAATTTTGTTCCCACCCCCACCCACCATAACTTTTTTATGGGCCCCTATGATGTAAATTATAATTTATTTAAGAAAACAAAATAGATACTTAAAGAAATATTTTAATGATATATTTGATTTACTGAGATAAAAGAACGGCAGTTGAGAACATACACATCAACTGCCTAGTTAAAAATTTAATTATACTTAATTTGTAGGGATTCTACGACCAGTATTATAGTATAAATATGGGCGTAGTCTCTGGACGTGTCAAAAATGAGTCAAAGGAGGTATGCGTTAAATAATCGTCATCAGGCATGGGGGTAAGGGGGTGGACCCTAGCCCTCTCAGAAAACAGTTCTGCTTCCTCGCCAGCCCTCCCCCTCCATTGAAAATTATGTACGATATAATAAAGTCATATACAATTATTTTTAAAAGAGCTACATCAAAGAATTTATGAAAAATATTTTTCAAAAATTTTTAATTTATGTAAATACTTTCGTATTTTCGAAGATTTGTATTTTTAGTATTTAGATAGACTCTGAATTGTTTTTATTTATTTATCTTATTTGTTTATGATTTATCACCATTTGTTCGTTTTCATCTAATTTTGGTTGTATGTTATGAAAATAATAATAGCTATATTATGTTATACGATACGAAAATATTTATATTTTATTTAAATAACCTCAATATTTGTTAAAAAAACCTTAATTCATGTAAAAAAAATATTTGCCCCACTCTGTCCCCCCTGGAAATAAATGCTATTGCTGTGCTTGAAGGTCTTATACCTGGTTCATTCTCACGCCTTGAAAGTAATGGGCTAAGCGCTTAGAAACTTATTAATCCGAAAATAATTTGGAAACTATGCGTTAGGTTTCTGAGCTATAAAACAGAAATCGACGTACGTTTACATTATAAATAGTGAAAGGAAAGGACTGAGTATAAATACTTAATATAACTTATCAATAATTGTAATAATTGTTTTACATTGTTCCTACTAATGTCGGGATCTGAATATAAATGTATATGTACAAAATAAATTTGCTTAAAAAAATCTAAATATATATAAAAAATATAAAATGTAACAGTAAATATAAAATACAAAGTGTAAAATATAATATGTAAATTATAAGAATATAATATAGAGGAATAAAAGGCGTATCGGATTACAACAAAATCATGTATATTAAAATTTAGTATTTTTTTAATTCTGTCTTTATTTCAATAATTTATCTTTAGAAATCACAATTAATTCGATTGGCGAATAATTCAACTCACTTAATTGGTTTAGGTTTTCTAAGAAAATTAACAATTGTACGTCATACTTGTAATTATTGTAAATTATCTATTAACAATTATGATATTATGACTATAAACTTAAAATTGTTAATAAAATACGCAAAATTACATGAAAAATTAAAATATTATAATATAATACTTGAAAATTAAAATAATAATTAATAGTTTAAATTGTTATTTTATTTTTTGAAATTCAGCCAATTTTCGAGGTAGAAAAAAAGTATTTCTAAAAGTTTCTATAAAAAAATTGGTTCATCCAAATCTAATGTCAATAGTAGGTGTTGTTTAAAAGCAGGGGATTATTTAGACTTACTTCGGGGGGGGGGGGAGGCGATTCAATTTTTTTTTTAAATTCAGGCTCAAAATTATTTATGTCGTGTGAATTCTAAATATTTGTAGTTTTTTTTACCACCTATCTGTGTTGAAAGTGTTGAAAGTTACATTTGTGTTTTATTTGATTTTTCATTAAGTATGGACCCGACAATAAGCCCAATTCATTATTCACAGCCACGCATAATTTGATTTCATTGTAAAATTATCCACATTAAAAAAATTTGTAATGTCTATCTCACATACTCGTATAATCGATTTCTTAAATACGGATATCGTGGGGGGCGATCGCACCCTTCGCACTCCCCCTTAAATACGCCTGTGCTTAAATGTACTGCCTAACCAGTTAATTATAAAATAATGCTACTCTTGAGCATTTTGAATTTCTTTGTTTTTTGGATGAGCAAATCTGCTTTAAAATATTAAGTTTGGTTTTTAAATAGGAATGAAATTGATGACAAGAATTGTTTATATTTATCTTATCGTCATTTTTGTAATAATATAAATAATATGAAAAACCACATACAGAGATTATTTTGATTTAATTAATGATTTATTTTCAAATTTTATGAGATCATTTTATGTGAAACTTTTCTTTTTTCTTCATAATTCGTTCAAGTTTGGCTACATGCTTGATATTTTGATTTTGAACATAATTACGGACCTTTGTAGTCTTATGTGAAATATAAATATATATATATAAGTCTTTCATTTTCTACCATTGCCGATTATGCGTGTACAAGAACAAGGTACTCTATTTAGTGCGGTGTGCTTGAAGTCGAAGAAATATCGGAAAAATAAATAAATTTTAGCTGGGCCTTACTAAAATGCAATTTGCGCAAAACTGGACAATGATTACAAGGTTCTAAGTGATGAAGAAAACGATTTAACAAATTTAAACCTAACCGAAGATTTGGCTGCAAATTTCATATTTGAAAGTACACCCCTGGATATACGAAAAGTTGTTTTTATTGAGTAATACACATATATCACCTGACAGTGTATCACAGGTAAGTAATTTAAAGTAATGGAAGTATAAACTATAAAATAAGAAAATAAATCATTAAAATATTATATTCTTAATTAATATATATATTTTTTATTTGTTATAGATTGAAAATTAGTAGTGCATGAAAAAGTTATAAATATTGTATATTTTTAATTCATATTATTTTATGTCCTATATTTTTTATACGGATTCAAATATCTTTAAATAATTACCTCTTTTTTTACTCAATTTTTTTTTAATTCTGTTTTTGTTCACTTTAAAATAAATAAAATGTTGAGATTTTTAATTAAAATTAGTCTTTCAACACTTATTTCTTAGATGTTTTATGGTATAAATGAATATTCAAACATTTTTTTAAGACATGAATTTACAATCACTAGACAGATTATGTATAAATATTTTTCTATTGACTATTGATGATTAGAAATTTATAATTTGTTTAATAATACATGAAAATTATTAACCTTTTCAAATATTTTACAGTTTTTAAAGCTTAATTTTTAGATGTTATTCGGTATATTTTGTAGATAAACAAAGTAAATTTCTTGGAAAACTGAATTAAAATTTCAAAAGATAATAATTAACAATATTATATTAGATAAAGCACCTATAAAATATAGTTTTAAGTTTAGAAATTTATTAAGTGTTAGGTTACATAAATACACTATCAAATAAAAATAGATTTTTTTAAATTTTTGACACGAATTTAATAAGTTTATTTTGAAGCGATTATAGATAAAATATATACCCAATTTTATGAGTAAAGTTTTATCTAGCTCATTGTTTAATATATTATTCTTATAATAAATACAAAATGTGGTAATTAAATAACGAGCATTTTTAGTTTTAAAACATTTATTTAGTATTTACAATACCGAGTTTATGCATTCATGCCTTCACAGAACTATCCTCCGAGTCCAGCACACTTGGTCCAACGTTCTTCCCATTTCCGGAAACACCTCTGGAAGTTAAATTCTAGAAGTTAAATTCTTCAAAACCGACGTTCCGGCACGTTGAATGTCCTCTAAATCATCATAGCCATGTCCTTTCATTAGTTCCTTCAATTTTGAAAATATTCAGAAGTCCAGTGGAGCCATTTCAGGGGTGTACGGCGGACGGGGTAGCGTTATTATGTTCCTACTGGTCAACATTTTTTAATGATGTGTACGTCGTCATTGTCATGGTGAAGGATCCAACCATTTTTGGCTAATCCCGGCCTCACATGAGTCATTGGCACAATCGCTTATAAACTTATAAAATACAATGTAAACTACTGAAGTCACCGTTTAACTATTAAGAAAAAATTCTCGATGTCGAAGAAACAGATACGCATTGTCTTGATTTGGTTTCGAGACACCCGGACTTTCGTGGGACGCTCTCCCGCCTCTTCAACCCACTGTTTTCTCTGTCAACGAGTTTCAGGGTTGTATTGATAAACCCAGCTTTCATCTGCCGTGATAATCGAATTCACCCAGTCACGCCCTTCACTCTGAATTCGTTCAAGAAAGTCCTTGCAAATCGATCGTCGAAAAACAATTTTCACGTCACACATTTTTGTACGTTATGACACTATGCTACTAACTTTTAAAAATCGCAGAGCACAAAATCTAATACCGATCACTATCAAACTTAGTAGACTTATGTATAAGCTTGTGAAATTTACTTCAACACATTTTCAAGATATTAGTGTTGCCATTATAGAAACTAGAAACAAATTCTGGTTATTTAATTGCCACACCTCGTATCATAATATATGGTTTATATACATTTTTTTACAGATTTACTAAATTGATTAGTTTATTCGGTTGCACAAACGATACCAAGTAAAAATCGAGTGTCCTATACAGTAATATGTAACTCAAATGCGTACAGTTCAAATAAGTAACTTTTCATAGTTGCTAAAAATTTTAAATCATAATATTAGGTAAATATTTCATTAACAAATGCTTCAAAATAAACTTGCTTAAAGACACGCTTTTACAAATTACTTTAGAATAGCATATAAGTAGACTGTGTCATATGTATTTAACTAAGTATAAATAAAATTAGAGATTCAACATAAAAATTATGTAATGACTATTGCTCGTCAAAAAATAATAAATTTACATTATTTTAAACCTATGACTAGTAAATTGATTGATTGAGCTAATAAATTCGTATACTTATGTGTGTGTAATTTTTAATAGTTATTTTTGTGTTTAGTTTAAAAACATTGAAAAAAAATTATTTATTTTATGAAGATAAATACAAGCCTTTTTTTGATGATGTGTAACAATATTTTCAGGTTTTTCCGTTGGTGTTTTATTTATATCGAAAAACTACCAAGAAAATCGAAGAATGAATACTTTACGAGATCAAGAATCCAATTTCCGATGAAATGACTATATATATGAAACTTTTGGTGCAGTTTTACTACGAGAAGTGTATACGAAAAAAGAAAGATCAGTGTAAAATCAATACTTTCTTATACCGCTCAGAATCTAAAATTATATTACTACAATTCAATCGTAATATCTGAACCGTTGACAATAGGAAATTTTCAGTAGGTAATCCGAATAGTAGAATTATAGGTAAAAAGTAAACGTTTAGTGCTGCTGTCATAGATTAGTTTTTAGATTTTTGAATATCTAAATTATTTAAATATTATGATATGTAATCATAAGTATTGTGTTAACTCGAATTTCATTACGTAAACAGAGCGTTTATTATTTAATTTTATTATTAATTTATTTTTACCCAACTTATTATAGTTGGTATTTGGATTTTATTTGATTTATGATTACAATTAATTTGTATATAACGTGTAGATATTTATCCTATTTATATAAGAGCTATTTACTCTTCTGAAGCAATGCATTTTGAACAGTTTTGAGCGCTATGGAGGGAAATAATAACTCGAGTCCTAACAAATCGGTTCGTAAATGGTTTTTGTAAATGAGGCTAAGTAAACAATTAAAACAATTTGGTATTACGTGGTAAATAATACAATTATAAAATGTAAACGCATTACTAAAATAATATTATGTTATCATTTAGTTTTATATTAGTTTTTCTTAGTATTCTCAATCGGGTTTATCTTGCTCCGTCGTTTACTGCTTATCGTCTGCTTCTAATTAAATTAATTAATCGTATTGCATGCGCTACGACGATTCTCCGGGTACAGTAAAATATACTCGCGTGATCCACGGAATTCGTACGAAAACGTTTATAGACGGCAGCCATAAATCACAACGTGATTTATGTGGGCACCTCATTGTGATACGGAAAATCAATAATGAACCGGGTAATCAACGAGTCGGTGGGGTTCTATATCAAGGCGACATTTGAGTATAAAAATGACGTCGCGCGCTAAGCAACAGTCGTCGGGATAAATTTCTTTTTTCCGGTATACCGATGACCCGGGATCGTGTAGAGATGTACTTACTGTACTTGAGCTCGTAAATCAACCGTTCGTAACATTTGCTTCATAACTTATCTAGACACCCGCCTGTACATTATCATTATAATACTATCATTGATAGTCGTGTGGACTGCATTTTAACGTACGACGACGCGTGTGTTTATGCGTAGCGGATCGGAGTGACTCGGAGAGGACTTGCCATTACGTCGCCGGTCGCCGAGGAGATGTCCGGGAACGAGACCGCCGGGGAGACGTCGACCGGGAACCACTGCGACGCGGCTCTGGCGTCCGGGAGTGGTGCGACTGCGAGGAGCACGCGCCGCACGGTCGCGCACCAACGGATCAGCAGTTGGTTCGACTCGGACGATACGGATCGGGAACCGTCGCCGTGCTCGTCTGCCTCGTGGTCGCCTCCGCGCGCGCGCCGGTCGCCGTCCGTCTCGATGTCGTCGTTCGGTTCGCCGTCGCCGCCGCCATCGCCGAGGCTCGACTCGCCGTCCGTGGAGTTCGAGTGCGCCGTGTGTTCGGAAGCGTTCCAGACGAAGGCCGAGATGAAAACGCACATGCAACAGTCGGAGGGTTGCGGCAAACAGGTGCTGAGAGCGTTCCGGTCCAAGCACGACCAGCAGGGGTTCGACGCGGAACAGCGCGGGGACGACGATCACCACCGCGAGCCGCCGGGGACGGAGCGGCCGAAACGCCAGTTGACGTGCTACGTTTGCGAGCGGCGGTTCGACCGAGCCGACCAGCTGGCCGCTCACCTGCGCCGCAAACACGGTCGCCCGGACGTGGACTGCGAGACGTGCGGCCAACGGTTCAGCCGGCGTACCGACCTGAACCGTCACCGGCGCGCCGTGCACCTCCGCCAGCGGCCGCACCAGTGCTACGACTGCGGGCAGCGGTTCGCGCAGAAGTCCAACATGCTGGAGCACCGGCGTGCCGTGCACGCGGCCAATCCGAAGGTGTCGTTCAAGTGTCCGCGGTGCGACAAATGGTTCTCGCGCAAGCACAACATGACCGTGCACGTGCGTGCCGTGCACGACCGCCAAAAGCGGTTCAAGTGCCCGTTGTGCCCGCGCTCGTACGACCAGCAGTCCGGCGTGGACAAGCACTACAAGGCCCTGCACGCGCCCGCCACCGATGGCGTGCCGCTGTTCCTGTGCCCGGTGTGCGGCAAACGGTTCTCCCAGAAGTCCAACCTCACCGTGCACCGGCGGTTGCACGACCCCATTCAGTTGCTGTTCGCGTGCCCCGTGTGCCACAGGTCGTACACCCGCAAGGCGGCGCTCAACAAACACGCCTGTCGTCCCGTCGAGGCGTGAACACCCGCCACGCCCACCGCCACGTGAGTTATATCATATATGACGTACGCGCACGCGCCAATTGTCCCGTGCGCTTGAAGCAATCCCGAAGCATTCACATTCATTTATATTACAAACGACCCGCGTCCGACATAAATAATTATTTTTGTTTTTTCGATTCCGCTTTTGTAATTTTAATGTTTATTTCCCGGTATACGAAGTGTTTTTTTATAATTACGATCCACTTCTGAATTTATGATTGGTACGTTGCAGGCTGTATTTTAAATCATTTTCTCACAAACATTTATTTATTAAGTTATTTCACTAGATGTCTTATGTTTTTTTTTCCGATTTTCTTCCTTGTAATAAAAAAAATAAAAATAAATGTAAATTGATAAATAAAACAGTTTGAATGTCAAACACGTTAAGATACAGTAGAAATGGAAAATTATTTTAACTTTCAAACGTAATGATAACGCTATGATTGAATAATTATGAATTATGCGCAAACTTTAAAAGTAATTTTAAGATAATATAAAATTATTTTGATTATTTAGTACAAATATTATATATAAATGGTTAGACGCGTGTAAATAATATTAATTGATATTTTTTAAGAAAATAAGTGTTCAATCTATTATACTATATATACGTACTATAATTCCGTGTGTCAATGTTACTCTAGGTTACAATTTATAATATAGTACTTAAAGAAATATCAATTTAATATTAGGTACGCTTATGTCTTTGAATCGCTTATTTAAAACAAGAAATAATATTAATTATACTACGATACTTAGGTTATATACACCGTTTTCTTTTATAATTGTATCATTTTAAATCAATGTAGACATCTAAGGACAAAACAAAATACGCTCAATTAAAAGAATAATCTCATATATATTTCATTATGGGCCATCAGTCTTCTTCTACTCTTTTTGCATATATTATTTTTATTTTACCATAGATTAATTATTATGCCTTTGATCACATACGTAATTAGTATAATTATCGATTTACTAAATTTAATGATTTTATTACTTTGTTCCCCTTAAAATGTAGAGCTCGTAAGCATTTGTCCCTATATAAATACTAATTATTACTTGGCTCTGGGTGATTTTACACAAATGAATTTTAACTATTAATTATAATATAAAATGTACAACATAATTGAAAAACTAGAAATAGGTAACTAAAATTATACATTATAATATTTTTATAATTTCGCTCAAATTCTATAACAATTTATTAAGTATAAAAAAAAAAAAAAAATATATAAATTAAAATATCATTAAATAATGTTGGGACCTAGGTATTATTGTTGTTTTCTATAGATATAATTTTATTATTATATTAGTTGAGTATTTTTTTAAGGTAAAATCTACAACTCAGCTAATTGAATATTGTTTGATTAGCTGTCTAACTAGATATAAATGGGTGCTCATTTTGAATTAAAAAAAAAAAAACTTAAAAAATGACCTGGGATATTTCAGATCAGGCGCGCCAATGAGTATTGAAAGTATTACATTCGTATTAATCACCATTCCATCTACTAAATCATTTTCATTTTTTCAATATTATAATGAGTTAAAAAAAAATTCTTGATATATTATAATTAATCAAATTGGCATGTTGAAAAATATGTTACATTCACTCAGAACATGAGATCGGCGCCTTTATATTGTTGTGTTTACATTAAGTTAAGTAATTTTAATGATCTGTGTTCAATTAGTATATAAATGTATGGGGTTTTTCAATTGTATTTTACGTAAAGTTAATAATGCGTTTGTGTGTGAGTACAAAATTTTTATTACGGGTAATTAGATGTAATTTAATATGTATGCAAAATTATTATTATTTATCTTTTGTGAAATTATTAGTGTGTTATAAATATAATTTTTAAGAGTTATTCATATTAAATTAATTGGAGTTTTAATGATTTTTTTTATAGTTTGAAACCTGACACCAATTGGCAATAACAGCATTTGAAGAACTCTTTAACTATTTCTTAATAAAAAGAAAAATTAATTAAACTAATGTTTTATAAAAAGGCTTCACTATCTTGACAGTTTAAGTATGAGCAGGCCTTTGCGCAGGAATTGTCCAAAGGGGGGGGGGGGGGAAAGAATCAAAATTATTTATGTTATGTTAGCTAAAAAGTTAATAAAAAAAACATGTTCTAACGATGACTGCATTTACAACTATAATAAACAGGTGGAAAATGCGTGAACGTTTAATTGAAAAATGCATTAAATCGAGCGAATTAGCTCTGTTAAAATAAAAATAGAATTATATACATTTTCTAGTTAGCTTTACTTTTATATAATGAGGACTAGTTATATTTTTAGTATTAATGTATGTAAAAAAATTCTCAATGAGGGGGGGAATTAAAATCTCCTTTGCACACAAGCCTGAGTATGGGTTTTTGGTGTTTTAACCAAATATTTTTGCTGATCTCTGATTTATGAAAATTGCTGGAAAATTTCAAAATTAATTATTACTTACAGTTTATTTTAATTTAAATTATATTTGAAAATCTAGAACACTGCCGGAGAAATTAAGAATTTACATCAATACACAAAAGTCTTGTAATATAACTATTATTGAAATATATTTATTAGTTAGTTTAATGAAAAATGTTATTAGTACGACAATGACATGATTTTTAGCGATTAACTCACTCAACACATAAACCATTAATAGTTAAAAATATTTCTAAATAAAAAAACAACTATTACTTTTATAAAAATTTATAAATTAATACTGTTTTCATCGTCGTTTTACTTATTATTTATTTCATAACGTGGTTTCGTCGGTGTTGGTGCATTGAAGATAATACTTACTTTCCGAGTCCGTAAGAACCAAGATTGAAGATAACCAATTGAAGATAATTAATAAGGTAAAGTACTTCCAGTTAAATTAATTTTATTTGAAGAATTGACGAACCTTATGAAAATGTTTATCCGATATTTCCACATTTATACGGTGTTATAAAGGATTTAAAAACTCTTAGCCCAAATTCGCTTAGAATGGTGAACACGGTTTAGATCAAGGTTGTCAAGCTATTGAAGTCCATACCCCTTTTCATATTGTTGTATAGATGACGTCCCTCTCACCACTATATGATTGAAGTTTAATGATTGATTGATTAAATTAATCATTAAGCAATCGACATTTTATTAAATTTAAATGAATTTATTTGTAGAGGAAAAAAAATTATTATAATTTCAATTTTTTTAAAAAAAAAATTATAATATTAACTTTTTTAAATGTTACATTTTAGAAATGAATGAAAGGCTTTTACTGTTAATTTATCAAATGTTTGTAAACAACTGTAAAAGTGAAAATAACCATATAATAATTATTATTATTTATTATTAAACTAATGTGCATAAATAGAAAACAATTTAATTACTCAATGATATCCGATATAAAATAAACAATCGAAAATAACGTTTTTATGTTGTATAAATTTTAAAAAAATGTCACGCCTTCGTTGGGGGGCGCGCCCCTCGAGTTGAGAACCATTGGTTTAGATGTGTGGTTTCGAATTATTCGATCGAAATCATTTGATAATTTAAAAGTATGAAATCGAAAGAATATTGTTTTTATCTAAGTATGCGTACATTCCTTCGTCGTTTAAAATCTAAGTTTAGTGTAGTCACGAATTACACTTATACTTATATGATCTGTGGTGTTAAATACTGCCACCGCTGTACGATTTTTATTTAATTAAACATTGGACACGGGTCGACTAATCTTTATGGGTTCAATATAGCTTTATACTTTCAAAAATGTTTTTCTTGAACTATAAACTTGTATTTTGTAAGCCGGGGGTTCATGTGTTCATTGGGTTGTAAGGTATCGGTCTATTGCCTTTGAAGTCAAATTCGTATTCGTGTAGTAGCTATTATTATTATGTTCTTGATTATAGTAATTCTCATACTGTTTGTTGTGGTAGATATTTGTTAATAGGATGAGTGAAAAAAAAAATCATAATAATAACTACAATATTGACTCGTGTTAATTAAACATGCTTTATGACCATTTTTTTGGTGGGAATTTCGAGTTGTTGAATGTGTTATTTCAGCGAGTGTAGATATCTGTTAATCGATTCTAAGTCATAAAATGATGACGATAAGGCTTGTTTGGAGACCATAATTTGTTTCTGTAAGATTAATATTGTCATCGTCCCTATAATGGGAATAATACTACTCGGTGCATTAAAAAGAAAAACGTCTATGTGATGATATTAGTACAGAGATATTCCACACCATAACAATATAGATTTTGGTTTTATTTTATACCTGTATTTTCCAACCTTTTTCTAAGGCGACCGAAAAAAATGTTCTTTGTGTTGGTTAAATGACCCTCCAAGAAAAAAAACCTATTACGCTCTTATATAATCACATAACTAACAATTTTATTATAAGGAATTTTATCATGCAAAACTAAATTTTGATAAATATGTATAAACAAGTAAAAGTGAAAATCTTTGTTACGGGTTTGATACGGGTTTGTTACGGCCCATGAGCCGTTAGTTGGTATAAAAGTAACGAGGAGTGACAATTATAATGTAAGGCTTAATCACAACATGCGTGTTAGTATTATTTATTATATATTTATTAGGATTTTTATGGTCGTAAGAAATTACTATGTGTTTATTATATTCATTATTTATTATTTACATATTTACTTCACCTATTTATAATTGTGTATATTATATGTGAGCGCAACTGGTACATTATATTTGGTTGAGGGCAACTGGTACATTTTTTAAATGCCGAAAACAGATGCTGAGGGCAACTGGTCAACACCCCTTTTAAATATATCCGTTCTGCTATCTTAACGTATCCAACGAGATATTTCATCTGGGCAACCATTACATCTTTAATCGTGATAGTGATATAGGTAAATAATTACAGGATACCCGTATAAATTATAATCATATACATTAATAGATAACTATGCGAATTCACGTTGATTTTGCAAAAAATTGGTATGGGCTTGCGGCAGTGGCCGCTTCATCTCGCAGAGGGTGCATATGCATACCCTTCTACTCCCGTGGACACGCCTATGGTAGTGTGTACCTAAATATACGTATATCATTTGATTAATTATGTTATGTTGCGTCTCGCGTATTCCTATATTTTATTACCACTTATTTTTGATTCATATTTAAATTTTAATTTAAAATTGTTTGACACTACAAGTTGTTTGCTATACTGGCTAAACATTGTTGTAAATCTCAATCACATTGAATTAAATATTAAACTTTTAACTACTTCTACTGATATCTAACACTAGTAAGTAAGTACTAACTAGCAAAGTATAGGTTAGGTTAAACTAGCAAAGGTGGGCAAGTTAATGAAAATAATTGACTCGAGTTAAGAGAACAATATCAATAAGTTAAAAGTTAACAGTTAACAATTCATAAATTTAACTTGGTAAGTTATAAGTTAATAAGAAAAAAAATATTAACTAAAAATATTAACTCAGTTTAAAAAAAGTTAATCTATTTTATTAATTAATAAGTAGATTACATAAAAAATGACTTCGTTTTTTAGAAAGATTTATTTTCTAAATTATAATAAATAATTCTATTAAATTTTTATTATAATATACAGCAGTGGCGCTGAAGTATTTGAAAAGTACTATGACATTATACAATGTACATCAAGGGGTCACTCACTGCCATATTTATTTATCTTTATAGTTAAAATTCTTTATACATAACATTCTGATCCAGAACCCAATACCCAAAAGGTGAGCTGCCAACCTACAAAATCATATATGACATCTGATTTACAGTGTATGCGACCATTTTACTTTACTTGATTAATTAATTTTTGTATTAATATTTACGTATAAACGAAAAATTTAAAAAAGTTTTTACTTGATAGATCCTTTTTCAATCAACTGTAAAAAGCTAAGTTATTTCAACTGCCAGTTAATCTAGTTAAGTTCAAAAGTTAAAATTTTTTTAACTTTTTAACTTTACTTTAGCTTTTTAACAAAATAATGCCCACTTTTGCTAACTAGTATATTCAAAAGTATAGGAACTGATATTTAGTGCCTATGTTTTGTTAATACTTAAAATTACATTTGGATTTACCTTACCATTTTATACGCAAAACGCAACATAACATAATTAATTAAACAATATATATACATAAGTACATATTATACAGTGTAATCACGATTTAAGGTAGTACTAAATATCTTAGGTAGAAGACCTTGTATTGAAATATGGTTTTTTGGGGAGGTGATAGGGAGTGCCTAAGTACATATTTTCAGATGAATTTCAAATTTTCAATACGTTTGAAGTGCTTATAAGCAATAAACTTTACATTTTTTTATACTACTATTCTATTTATCACCGTTTTTTTTCTACTCACAAAACTGACCAACTTAGAGTAAGTATAAATTTGAATTTACGCATAATTCGTGTTAAATGAAATATTCATTTATAATCACTGGAAATAATAAGTGCCAAATAAATGTTTAATTTACTTTAGCTGTTTACAAATAATAATTTAATATTACTGTTGGTCACCACAATGATTATCTTGAGTATTTGATAAATTTGTTCAGCAAACTGCTATAATACGATTACAATTTTAACTCTTTTTCTAGTTGAATTTTATTTTATTTTACAATAGCTCTACTAACAATAAGATAATGTAATTATTAAGGTATTTAGTTTAATGAAAAATAATTTTACATTAATTTTGTAATTAGACCCGTACTAAAGTGTGTGCGTTGTCCATGTATATCTGGTTATTAAGTATTCTTAAAAATTATAATTTTTTAAATATGAATAATGCTAAAAAAGTTGAGTTGGTTTTAATTTATAGCGAATGTCAACGTACTTGTATGTACGCCTAGCTGCAATGACGTATGCCGAACGCAGTGGCGTATTTATTGTGTGTGTGGGAAGGGGGTGCTGGAGTTTCCACCCCAAAATATTTGAAAACATCAAATTATAAACATATCAGTTATATAATAATTTTAGTTTATTTATTCAATAAAGTATTAAAGTATAATGAAAAATATATGTGTATATATATAAAAAATTTTTATTATCGCTAATAATTAAATTGTAATCGGATAATAATAATAACAATCGACCGCATGGCACTCACAGACACATGGTATATAAATAATCTGATGTTGGGAAATTATCGGTTGATATGTCGATGTCCTTGCCGTGCTATCGATTCGTCGAGATTTAGACTTTCGAACCGATGAAGTTATTGATGATTTGGCAAATAAAAAACGAAAACTAGAATTTATAATATAATTTGTAATTTTGCTATAGTGGTTTATCAATAGTTTGATTTCAATAAGTTGATAAAAAACCTAACAATAAGTTATTAAAGAACATTTTATACTAATTTATAAAATTATTTCACTATTAGGTATGACACCCCCCCAAAAAAAAAAAATTCCTAAATACGCCACTGGCAGAACGATAGTCAGAAAGATACCATCCACCTTCTAAATATGTGTTACGAATTTTACAAGGGTTAATTCAGGAAAGAATATTTTTTGAATGCCAAATAAACCAGTAAAGGCGTAGAACAAACATGTTTGATGACGATACAGAATTACAGGTACATAAGAACTAATCATTCATCAATTAAGCATGTTGCTAGCGCAATAGGAATTTTATATGGTTATACCCAAACAATTCTAAAACAAAAAAAAATGGACCCATATAAAATCAATTTTGTCCATCATTTGCATGCAGGAGATTCTATTGGTAGGTTGGAATTTATAGCTTGGTTCAATATAAAATATTATGATAACCCTTTAATTGTCAATCATATTCTCTTGAATGATAAATCAAAATTCACCAACTATGACATGAATTCACAAAATCATCAATACTGGGTTGACACAAACCCACACTGGTTTCGAGAATTAATGTACGGTGTTTGTTAGTCGGTGAAAAGCTAATAAGACCATTATTTTTTATGGTGCGCTTAATGGCATAAAATATCTTAATTTTTTAATCAATGAACTAGGTATCAAGACGGTTGCATGATATTTCATTGGACACTCGAGAACGTATGTTTTTCCGACTTTAAAATAACCGTAACACGTACACGTTCAAGAACCTCATTCTCCAGACTACCTGTAAACCGCTAGACCTGCTTGTCCCTTCACGTCACTGTTTCGCGCCACATAATTCATCGTACACTTATTTCTTTTATTATTATTATTATATTGTCGTCCGTCTAATAACCGCGCTCTCGTTTTCCCACAGTATCACGAATCGGTGTTCAGATTTTCGATAACGGTTTGAAATCCGCAACCGTTAGATGGCAATGTCGTACGAGTCTACCGACAAATCCCCTCGTTCGTGTCTCGCCATAGATAATATAAGAATGGATAGGCCACTCCCACAAATATAATATAAGAATATTCTTATATTATCTACTAGATTTGAGCTTTGGTTAAGACTAAGGACCAGAAGTTATAGAAATTACATACTATTTTCTATTTCTTCTATTTATACTATTTATAGCTAGGTGAATTAATAATGAGTTCTATCACGTAGTTAGTTTATATTTGTGGTTTTTTTTTTTGCATATTTTAGTAGTTTTTTTTGAAAAAGTATATTATTGGTTTTTGTGCGTATACAAATATTTTTAATATATTTATAACACATGCGGCTGTGACATTATTTTAATTTATTATATAAACACAGTAGTTCGATTATTAGTCGACCATTAGTGATGTTTGTAATTACGTCCACGGATTATTTTGCCGTAGTTAATTGTGTAGAAAAACAACATCGATCCAGTAATAATGTGGATTAGTGGAGCAACCGTAGCACGTTTTGGTTGGACATATTTGTGGGACCATCGCCAGTAAGCACGAGAAAATAATCCAGCAAGTGCTGATGGCGACTTATTACGACGTCCAATCCATTGAGTCATCTAAAACCAACGAAAGCATTAGATAAAATAAAATATTATAGTTTTCAAGTGTTAAGTAAATTATAATTATGCAAACATCAAAATCGTTACTCGATTATTATTTTATTTATTTTTGTTTCATAGTAGTGAAAAGTAAATTAACTGAATACGAAAATAAAATAAACACCAACACTTCTATAAAAAGTTTTAAGATTTATTTACATACAACTGTTAAACTGTTAATGATTATGTGTAAATAAATGTTTACAAATTTCATGTTAATTAATGATAACAATGGTATCAAAGAAATTAATAAAAATATTAAGGAAATTAACAGGCTTAGTAATAGTAGCAAAGTCAAATTTATCTATACTTTTACTAAAAAATTTAACTCTTTCAAGATTTGTTATTGTTTATTATATATTCGGTAAAATATTGTACAATTTAAACAAATGCAAATATAATGAGAACTGAAAAAATATTTTCTAAGTGAAGGACACATACAGATGGATTTTTATAGTGCAAATTAAATCTATAAATCCATTTTTATCTTTAAAACTACACACAGTTTAACAATGTTATTTCTTGTTTTGCTAGAAACCTAATAACAATTTTCAGATTTTTCCGAATCGTATTATACATATTAAAAGCTGTGAGTGCGACAACCCTACAACCTAAGGGACGCAGTGCTTCAGGATGAAAAAGCCTCGGTATGGCTCTCCGGAATGGCGAGGACAATGCGTATAATAGTAAGAAGGGGAACGCGTTGTAGGCATTCACGTTTCTCACGTATAACGTAATAATGTTAAAATAGTAGTCACCTCGCCGAGTTTCACTTGCGATATTGGCGTATCCGGCGCTCCGTAGAAACGGGCTGGATCGTAGTGCCCGTGCACCTTAGAGTTGTATTCATTCGGATATCACCGATGGCCATCTCGAAAACACGTCGAATAAACAGTATTCCTGGAACGTTTTACGCTTCAAACACGGCTGCCGCAGCACAATCAAATAAAACAAAAAAACTTGATAAATACTAAAACAAAACTGTTGAATATCCTTGATTATCATTTATCTGTACAACCTTACTTACCGATATAATATGATGCTTATGTTTGTCAAATAATTAAACGTAAACAAAATACTATAATATTTAAAGCACGTAATAAAACACCGATTGTTATTATGTTTTATGGAATACGAAATATAAGTATCTATAGAAATATATACCTATATTATACATAGTTGCCATGATGAGAATTGATTTTATACCATCCATCTTAATTACTTAATAATGGTTTAATGTTAATAATTACTTAAAATAAATTTCAATTATTCAATTTTTATTTAAATTCTTTATAAAACTGAACTGAGTCCTAACATATCTTATTTTATTATCTTGTTAATTTTCGTTATCATTTTCATTTCCTCATTTTATATCCACGTTCTGATAATTCTCCTTCGAACGTACCCACGGAGACATCGAGACTGTACAATACAGTGTGTAATCGGTTGTTGGAAACACTCTATAACTTAACAAGTATTAAAGATATTTGAATTCTGTTTGTTTGTGGTGCTTAACAAAGTTTGTTATAACTTATTAAAGTAATTAAACAATTTTTATGCCATTTCATTTCGCGCATGCGCATAACAACTTTTTTTTTTTTAAATGGCAACCCCACTATTTTTTGGTTAGTTATTTTTACTCTTATTTTTTCATGAATTTTAGTGGTAAAACCACCTTCCTATGTTAAAAAATAGCTGAGTTATGGATATTTCAGTGATTGATATTATTTTTTGACATTTTTGAATTATTCATCAATTTTATGGCTTAAATAATTAATCCTTTTAGCACCGCATGATAACTTCTAGTGATATTTTTAGTACCTACTTTTGGAAAGCATCCTCTTTCTCTAAAGCAACTATTTTTTTTAAGTTTGTCTCAGGCGATTAAAAAAAAAAAAAACAATGTTAATTAATTTTATTTTTATTATTTCAAAATTCAGCAATAAGGAATAATAAAATAATATCCTAAACTTCCAAAAAACATATAACAAATTAAAGGCATAGACTATGATACAACAATCTCTTTTAAACCTGCATGATATAGATCACAAATCAAGTGACATTGTGTAAGTTCATAGATGTGCATTATATCAATTTAAATAGATTATTTATATATATATATATATTACAATAATATTATATATATATATATATATATATATATATATATATATATATATAATAAATAATCTTTTATTTTTCAATATATAATTAACTGATTGATGATACTTTCTTTAAAAATATTAAATCAATTATAATAAAATACTGTTAATGGTCATTGATGAATATGGTACCTATTTCATATATTTTTTTTATAAATAAATAGCTCACTTTTGTTATTAATTATATGTATTTACCTATATTTTAAAATGGTTTCAGATTAAAATTGATACCAATAATGTAACTATTTAAACGTTGTCATTATTGTGAAAAAAATGACTTACTTATGAGGGACTCAAAAACATATTCTGTAATTTAAAATTTTATATAGATTTAAAAAACCAACTAACTAAATTCTTAAACCTCCATTAGCCCCTCCCTTGGTTAGTGATAAAACCAGCCCTTGATTATGAATTATAGTTATTATTTTTAACAATAATATATTTACAGCTACATATAACATATTATGTAAAATGTAATCTTCAATAATCATCTAATTTATTTCAAATAATATAAAATATATACCAAACGTTGATTCCACAATAATTGTATTAACTATTTACATTCAATTCCTGTAGTACTTATTGGGAATAGTTATTTATATGTATGAAAATAATTTAAATATTGCATAAAGGACAAAAGTTTTCTAGTGAGAATTATTTTAAATATACATGTATTATATTTTTTATTACACTGTAATTTTAAAGGTAATATCATTAATATATATTAGAAATAGAATTGGGGCTAGATGAAAATTTTGAGGAACACCCGAAGTAACTATTATTGGTTTTGACTGAAATTCTTTATAAACAACAATTTGAGTACGCTGTGAAATGTAAGACTCAATCCATTGAATAAGAGACCACATACGACAATATATTTTAATTTATGTAAAAGAATAGTGTGATTAACTTTATCAAAAGCTTTAGCGAAATCAGTATAAATAACGTCCATACGTAAACCAGCTGAAAAACTATCAATTATGGAATGTTGAAGGGTAAGTAAATTAGTAGTAGTTGTTTTAGACTGTCTAAAACCATGTTGATCGTCAACGATAATTCTGTCAAGTTCAGGAGTTATCATATCCGACACAATAGATTCGAATGTTTTAGGTGCAGTTGAAAGTAAAGAGATAGATCTGTAATTAGAAATATTTAATAAGTCATATGATGTCTCAGGAATAGGAAGGATAATACTTGTTTTCCATCTATCAGGAAAAATACCACTAGATAAAGATAAATTAAAAATATAAAGTAGAGGAGAAGAGAGGACAAATTTACATTATTGATAAGACTGTCTTGTAATTAAATCAGGTACAGGACCACACTTTGAACTAAGGTTATTTAAAGCATTAAAAACTTCGATTAAGGTGATTTTACATGAAAATATAGGTGCTAGCAATGAGTTATTCGGAGAAACTGCACTTAGATCAATATATTTTGAATTATCATAATGTTCAAAAACAATAGCAAAATGTTGAGCAAAGGCTTCAACAATAGAATTTGGAGAGTTAAATTTAGAATTATTTAAATGCATACAGTCAGGTAGAAATGTTTTTTTGCGTTTTTCATTAATAAATTTCCAAAATTTGGATGATTGATGTTTAAAATCTTCCTGGATATTTTTTAAATAATTTTGGTAATTTAATTTAGAGAGAGCTTTACACTGGACACGTAAATTTGAAAATTTATTATAATCGTTAATGGCACCAGTTTTTAAAGATTTTATGACCTATTTTCTTTTTAAATATTAAATGTTTTAGTTCAAAACCAAACCATATAGGATATTTTTGACGAGTTAATAGATCTACTTATAGTATGTTACAGTATGACCTGTCGTATACGCCACGCAAAGGCTTGACATATAACAGATATATTTTGATTATTGAGTCTCAAGCCGTCAAAGAGTAAATATCGATACCTTTCGGTTAAAACTTATTAAATTCTCCTTTTGGTGACCACAATAACGAGTACAGGATAAGTACAGAAACATCTTGTTACTTCACAAAAGTGTTTTATCACCACAAACGCTTCAGTACACACACTAGGATTTTATTCTCCCAATTTACTATGAAAAAAATGACAAAACAAACATTTTATAGTTTAAAACCAAATTAGATTATAATAACTTCAAAGTCTCACAATAAAAGACACAATTTACTTTTAAATAAAAACTTGTCGTTAGCCGCGACAACCCGTAATCATTTATTTTTGCCTCGTATGTAATTTATTACGAACTATTGACTATACTAAGTTTCAAGCTATAATATTTTGTGATTATTCATATATGAAACAACAGACTGGTTTTTAATTTTTTCAAAAATATTGGTTTTGAAATTTGAATTTGAAAATAAATAAATTTGATTTTGAAAATAAATAAATTTGAAATTCAGGTATTTTTGGACGTTGGCATCAATGAATTTGGAAACTTCATTTTTATCTCTTATCAATGAGGAGAACTGACCTAAGCCCGGAATCGAGAACCTGTACCTACGGAAAGACCTATCGGAACCTACGCCTACAACCTACCTACCTATCAGGTCGGAATCGCAGAGAATGATTCGGGCATTTAAACCGTTCGACGGGGAGATAAGGTAGATGGAATACCCGATCGATGACGTCACGTGCGGGCCAAACGTCACGACGGTGCGAGAGGCACAGGTAAAGAACGCTCCGATTGGGCTGGTGCTTAGTGGAGAAAATTTCGGATTTTCATCCGGTCGCATCGGGAAAACGGTGGGTCGAAAAATCGAACGGATCCTTGAAATGGACAGAGGAGACAAAAGTCTACGGAAAACAGTCGACTAAGAAACGAAAAAGCCTCCGCGGGGTTTAAAAAGTTTTCCGACCAATCACAGCCCAGGGAATTATTTTAATGTATTAGAAGAAGATAGAAGATTTATATTATCTTATATGTGTCTCGCACATCGTTTTGGTTGTATTGATAAAAAAAAAAAAACCAAATAAATGATAACAGCGATGAGCGTCCCGGTGCCATTGCCCGTTGCCAAATGTAATGCGATCGTCGTCGGATTGCACGTCCGTGTGAACGGGACACCATGGCACCGATGCTATTACCCTTCCGTAGACTCATGATAAAATGGATTATTTATTTTTTCATACGCGATCACCAAGTCCGCGGCCACCACGTACACCCGCCATGATCCGTGGACCGTGATTACCGGACAAGCTGCCTTATCATTGTTTTTGGCAGCAATTAACTTTTTCCGTTTTATCAAGCGCCAATATTCCGACGGGAATTCCAAAAAAAAAAAAAAAAAATCACCATGCGTTCGCGTCTCCGCGGTGAACACCAATTGGACCGCCGCGGACATGGACCGTAGTCTGTCGTTTTCGATCACCGCTCGATTTCTGTTACATTTTTTTTTTTCTTTTCGAAACTACACTCGAACCAGAGATGGATTTTTCGCACAATCGTTCGCTGCGGTCCAAATGTATTTTCTGCAACGAATCAGATGTCGCCTGATCAACCCGTCTTTCGACGGCCCATGTACGTTTTATTGAATTTCGTACCTATTTTCATAAGCGTCCGTCATGTCCGACGCGTGGCAAGAGACTAGAGCAGTGTTGAGCAAACGAAATTCGATGCGCGAAAAACTCCAGAAAAGAAAAATCGAATGGCAAGTTATTCTGAATAAGACCACCGACAATATTGTTACTAGTAAGTGTTGAATACATTTACGGGGTTCTCATCGCCATTCATTTGACAATATCGAATTTGCAGGAGAATCGTTATTACCCAGCAAGAGTATTGTAGAGAATGAATCAGATTTTGATTGGAGCAAAGTTGGTGGCGAACGTGTGCTACTTGAAACACTCGTTAATATGTCTTTCAATCTTCCAATCACATCTCATCAATTACTAAATGATCTTTTGCAGAAACAGTCTACTTATATATCACATTCGTCTGTTGTTAATTTACTTAATAAATTCGCTGCACAGAATCTCATTCAGTTCGTAGTATTATTCATTCATTGTCAATTTGCTTACCTCAAATATTTTTAATTATAAAATTGATTTAGATTTAAAGAAATTACCATAGATGGTCAGATTGGTTTGGAAATAATAACAGCTGAACATGCAAAATTGCTCGCAATGATAAACGATTTATCATCAGAGATTGATACAAGCATACATCTTGAAGAGTCCCGTTTGCAGATTGAAGATAAAATTAAACAACTAGAATGTAATTGATTTATGTTGTTATTTCTTATATTATTAAAATTATCATTTTTAGATGAAGATTTTGATGAATGTCAACAGAATGTAAAAGTAAGAAAGTTAACTAATGATTTTAAAAATTCTGTTGAATCTGACGATGACATTATGGTAAGTAAAGTATTGAAGTATGACTTAAAATAACTATTAAGACAATATATTAATGTAATATTTGTAGTCTCTTATTTCAATGCCATCTGCTCGAGAAAAAGAAATAAAAAAAGCTAGTGAAGAAATAATGGAACTACTTAGCAAACCAACAGTTAAAGAAAAATCACTTGCTGAAAAATTCCGGTCCAAAGGAGGTAATGACAGGCATTATAGTGATATCTGTTTGAAAATGTATATTTAAATCTTTTTTTTATAGGAACGCATGTTATGGAATTTTGTCCACATGGTACTCGGTCAGATTGTATGGAAGGACATGTCTGTAAAAAACTTCATTTCAAAAAAAATATTCAAATGCATACTGATGAATCTTTAGGTGATTGTTCATTTTTAAACACATGTTTTCACATGGATACTTGTAAGTAAGTGTCTGAGTATTTTATTAATTTTTCTTACTATTATTCAATAATATTGAATAAACCTAAAAATATTTTACTAATATCTTCACTGTTTTCTACAAACTATTAAATTAATTAAATTATTAATTTTTAATTTTTTAATGTTAATAATTATAAGTTTTTTCAAAGTAGCTTAGCACACAAAGAAGCTACAGATATCTATAAGTTGGGGTTGCCTTGTATTGTAATGTTAGACTGTTCATAAACTTGGAGAAGTATAAAATAATGTAAAGTAATTGCCTGGGGTAAAGTGTACAATCTACTACATATACTTTATTTATATTTTAAATAATTTCATTTTAGTTTTAAATTATTGGTTGTATTAGTATACAGACATGTATATATAATATATAGATTATGAAAATAAATTATATTAATAAAATATTTATGAACACTAAACTGTATGAATAATATATGTATTGGTAAATATTCTTAAAATATCAAGTTTTAGAATAACTAAAATTCTAAATAAATAATTATTTTTTATATAAATAAATAATACATAGGCAATTTCTTTATTAATGCATTTTTTGAAATTTGAAATATACAATAACTTAATCTTACGTGACTAAATATTATTATCTAATAATAATCATTTTGTAAAAGACTACAAATGTACTGATTTTCTATATTTTAGAAGTATTGTGTAAAATGCTAATTGAAGCTATATTATATTTAATTTGTATAAATACTATTACATAAATGAATAAGCTAGTAATAAAATACATCTTTGTGTCCGGGATAAATAAAAGATAGGTTGATTCTGTTGTATGTTATGTTATGTGTGTTCCTGCATTGATCATAAGTCATAACCATGGCTTGTCTTATATAACGTCATAATTTATAGCTCTAAAAAATTTGTTTTAAGCACTATAATATGATCTTAAAAATATTCATATAAGCACTTAAATATGCATTAAAAACATTATAATTATGTGGAAAAAATAAATATTATGTCTTTTTTTTCTTCTTTTAGTATTAAACCTTTAAGGTTGGTATTTCAAGAGTGCTTTTCACTCTTCTTTGTTCTTAGCTAGCCTTTTCAGTTTGGTGTAACTTTTTAATCCAGCCTTGGAAATCATTTGTTTGTTAAATTAAGTTCTCAAACGTCCTCGGTCCCTTTTACCTTCAATTATCTCTTCTATTATTCTATGGGTTAGTTAATTTTATTGTCTCAATATATGACCCATCATGTGTCATCATATTGTTTTGATGGCTTTGGTTATCTATTTTTTTTCATCTACTTCATTGAGTATATTTTCGTTGGTACGGTGTTCTATCCAACTCACTATCACCATCCTCTCCTACACCACATTTCAAAGCTTTCGAGTGTTTGTTATTCTATCTTATTTAATATCAATCTTTTGCAACCATAGAGTGCCACACTCCACTTTTATAAAACGTTTTTTCATCTTAATATTCATGTTATTGGAGCATAACAATTTTTGCTTTTTCATAAATGCTGACTTTGCCTATGCGATAAATATTATGTTTGAAACAAAAATTTTCCTCATGAATAAAATTCATCATGATTGCTCGATTATCGATCGCTTTACTATGATATTAATAAATATATTATATACCAGCGTTTCCCAAACTCATCTTTAGGCTGGCCTGGTAATTAATGTTTTTCCCCTTCGTGACCCACCAAATTATTTTGCATTTATCATTGTGTAAAAAAAAAGGCAATGAATAACACATTTGAACATAGGGGTAATTTGGAAATTTATTAGGGGGGAGAATATATAATTACATATATTACGGCTAAACGCTGCTTCACTACCAATATATTATTTTATAAAATTATTCATTTTCTAACATTATGTTAAATAAGTAAAAATTGAAAATGTAGTTTAAAAAAAAAAAAAATTTAATAATAGCTATAACCAGTTGTTTTATATTTATCTTAAAACAAGGTATGTTTATATCAAAGGGAGCACTACCCCTCTTTATTCTAGGAGAGGAATAGCTCTCTTGCCCCCCCCCCAAGTTTACGCCTATGCATTTGAATGTCCACATGGAATTTTGTAATAAAATTGAAGCGTTGATTTGTTACTATTATACTGCATTTATAGATACGGTGAATGCCATACCAAACGGGTTTTTCATGAAGTCTAGTCGTTAATCTCAACAATTATTATTTATATTGTAAATTATAGTTAATATTTGTGTTGGTGAATTTATTTTTAATATAATGTTCAAATTGAAACACTGACATACACTATTTAACAGTGTTGCACATAGGTAACCAAAAAATGATCTAGATAAGATGAAGAATATTATAAAACTCATCTAGTTAAGGTAATGGATAACTATTTAAATATTTATCTGGCTAATAGATAAAATATTATTACATTTATGCAGATAAAAAAACAGATAATTTTAAAGAGTTTCATCATTCAAAAGTTACATTTGTAAAATGGTTATACTTTCTATAAATAAAAAAAAAATGAATTATTAATTATGATTTATTTGGTTTAAAATAATCTTTTTTATTTAGTTGATTTAGACACAAAAAAAAGGGCATAAACCTATTTTTATTTTCAAACCCCCGTATAAAAATTCAAAATTAAAAACAAAAAATTAATTAACACATTATAATTTAAATAATCAATAATAAAAAATGCACCTATTTTTATTCGTTTATTATTAAAACATACACCTATTTAATATAATAGAATTATACATAATACAATTTATAATTGTGTATAATGCTACTGAACTCAAAAAGACTTAAAAAAGCCAAATAGCTTTTATATTTTAAAATATGCAAAACTATGCAACATTACATTTCATATTTAGCTTCTTAGTTATCTGAAACAAATGTATAGCTCACATAGACATCTCTTGAACTTCTTAAAAAAAAAAAAAATATTCAAATGTTAGAAGTTATGAGCCCTAGTCATAACTCTTAATATAGCTGATTTTTATTTGGTATGTTATTAATTAGTTATTAATATTAAGTAGTTTTATTATTTTATTATTATTAGTTTTATTTTTATTTGATTAAATATTTAAAAATAATATTCATTATTTTAATTTTAGTAAAATAGTGATAATTTCCTGTTTCAGATATGTTCATTACGAAGTGGATGGTGTCACTAGTAAAGTAAATTTAGTTAAAGCTTTAAATAATTTTCCATCAAAAAAAGGATTGGTTGATGATAAAAACGAATTACTACCTTGTCAATGGATACAGTGCGATTTGAGATTTATGGATTTCACATTCTTAGGTTAGTTATAAATATTTTCAAGGATATATTTTTAGAGAATCATTTTGTAAAATTTTCAAAGTCTATAAAAAGTTATCCATTTTAGGAAAATTTGCTGTAATTATGGCTGATCCACCATGGGATATTCATATGGAACTTCCTTACGGTACATTATCTGATGATGAAATGCGACGATTGGGTATTCCACAGTTGCAAGACGAAGGACTGATATTTTTATGGGTTACTGGACGGTATGTTATAGTGAATAATATACAATAAAACTAGGAATTATAATATATTCTAAGATGCTAAAAAATATAGATACTTAAATTTAACAAAACCCTGACTTCTTTAGTTTTTTTTTATTATACATGTACGTTTTGAAATATTATTAAAACAAATTAAATTATTTTCCTAAAAAGATTATTTATTTTGTAAAATTATCAATACATTTTAATTTAAAAAATATGTCAACAAATAAAGGAATATTTTATTGAATAATTTATTTTTAATAACAAAAAAGATAATCAAAATAGTCTTTATGTACTAGTCTTTTGGTATATTTATTCAAAAATTGTTCGTACTAATTGTACAATGTAATAAACCAAAAAAGTAAATAATATTACATATTATATTATGTATTTAATGGTTAAGCTATTAATTAAAATTATTATCATTGAAGATATTTTTATTTATTTTTGCTTTTAGGGCTATGGAGCTTGGTAGGGAATGTTTAAAATTATGGGGTTATGAAAGAGTAGACGAAATAATTTGGGTAAAGACTAATCAATTACAAAGAATCATAAGAACTGGTAGAACAGGTCACTGGCTCAATCATGGCAAAGAACATTGTCTAGTATGTTTTATGTACAATTTATTAAACTTCAGTTTTCATAATATTTGTCTTGTATCTAATGAAAACAATCCTGTTACACAATGGATTTGTATTTTAAAGGTTGGCATGAAAGGCAACCCTACCAACTTGAACCGTGGTTTAGATTGCGATGTGGTTGTTGCCGAGGTACGTGACACTAGTCACAAACCTGATGAAATATATGGTATTATAGAACGACTTTCACCTGGTACTAGAAAAATTGAGTTATTTGGACGTGCACATAACATTCAACCCAATTGGTAAGTAAATTGGTCGTCATTGTTAATTTTTTTTTTTTTTTTTTAAATAGTTTTATGAAAAGTTTTATTTTACTTCAGGATTACACTTGGAAATCAAGTGGAAGGAATCAGGTTAACCGATCAAGATCTCATTGAAAAATTTAAAAAAGCATATCCATCTGGAAATTGTTTATCAACAATGGCTACATCAAAAAGAAATACATAAGGTTTCTATTGTTATTATAAACTGGTCTAATATTGTAGTATGCTAAAAAATAAACTTTTTACACGGTCAAAAATGAGCTAGGACAAAAATATTTGATGATAACAAACAAACAAAACTAATAAATTAAATTACCATTTCTATATTTAATTCAAAGTTATATAAATAATTAATTTTATTATAATATGTATTGGCACTTATTACTTTTTATATTTGAATCAGTTAAGACACATAACTGGTCAGGCCGGTGCTGAATTATAGTTATTTGACAGCACAGTAAATAAATTAAATAATAAATAATCTTATAACTAAAATGCGATTCCCTATAACCTAAGTATCAGGTAATACATTCAAATTTGATTGATTTTTGTAACATATTGCTCAATTATGCATATATATATAAAAAAAAAGAAACATTTTTTTATGTTGTAAGAAATCCTAGAATATTGGGAGGAGGGAAATATGTGTTAATTAAACTATAAATTTAACTTTATAAAATTTACATTTAAACACTTTAAGCAACAGCATTATTGTGTGTTGGGCGGCAACATTCATATAACTATCCAATGTAATATGTCCCGCACAATTAACACATGTTTCTAATATAAAATTATGTCAGATAGTTGCCTTAAAGAATAATTTTAATAAATTAAAATATAAACTTAATAGAAAAGGAGAAAAAACATGACCTATATAAATCGTTAAATGTAAAAATAATATTAATAATAATTAAAATAAATATATATATATGTCGACGCATATAATTTATAGGATCAGTACAGATAGTTTTTAGGTTCTTCGGTGGGTTGTCCACAAACACCGTGATACTGTTTGCTGACCAACGAGCGGGACCGGCAATTTTCCATTTCCAAGAAACAGTCGTTGCTGTATGTCTTTAAGTCGGTTCCGCAGATTGGGTCATACAGTGTTGGGCATACCCGTTGGCATCCTTTGAACTGAAATCCTGTCAGGCACCTCTTCATGGGTACCACATACACGTGTTTCCTGCATGGAAAAAAAATGAATGATATGGACCATGGGTTACTAACATGTATATACAATAGTAACTAAAAATCTAATTTATACTCATAGGTATAACTTCAATAATTCTATTGAAATTTAATTGGTGTTAAAGTTTGTATTTTCCATATATTTAAACTTGTAATTACATATCACATATATGCATGTATAACAACTGCATTATAAAAATTTTATTTTCTCATATGTAAATTTTTTTTTTTTAATTCCTCTATTGTGCATCGTACAATTTGACTTGTAATAAATGAAAAACATTGTATGTTTAATAACTGCACTAAACATTTTATTTTCTTATATAAGTATAATTTTTTTATTTTTTTTTTTTTTAATTCCTCTATTTTTTGTGCATTATAAAATTTTATTTGTTTTTCATTTACTATCATAAATGTAAAAACAATAATTGAATCAATTGAATATTTAAGATATAAACCATTTAATAATTTTTAGTTTTCATTTTACTTTTTATTATTGTATGAATTAAATTGTAATAAATGAAAAAAAAAATGTATTGAACCAACAAGCGATGGTGTTTTTTTTTACCAAGAATGCTTATCACTTTAGTTAATTGATATTTTATCACAAAAAATATTAGTAGTTCATACAATGTTGCCAAATACCTTATTTGAGATTAATACGCTTATCTTATTCCGCATCATAGAATAATTACTCTATCAGTAGCGCAATCAGGAATTTTTCATGGGGGGGGGGGTCTGACAAAATAAACTAATATACAAATAATAAAAAATTATAATATATATATCTAGAATATGATATTAATATACTATTATACGTACCAAGGGGGGTCCAGACCCGGAGTCCACCCCCCTGGTTGTGCCACTGTACTCTATGTTCCGCATATGTGACTATAACTATGTTAAACTTATTTTGACAAATCTTAATTTTTTATATCGTATTAATAGTATCGAAAAATCTGTATGTTATACTTGTCCCGTTTAAATTCTACGTCGGGACCCTAAGACACCGAGTCTTTATTTTTCGTAAAGCCACAATAAAGTAGGAAAAAAAACGTTCCCACGATGCTGAACTTCGTGGTAGTGTTTGAGCCGCAATTATTCGGTGATGTTATCAGTGACAGAATAACATTTGCGTCACGTCGGAACGGAATATGATAGGGTTCCATAAGAGATAAAAACATGAAATCGGAAATAAAATATTGTCCTTTTTTATCATATTATTACGAAGATTGATGGACCCTCGAATTAATTTGCCCGCAGTCCTAAGAATCCTCTTGGGACTGCTGTGTTCTCAAAACATCCTCTCCGCGGTACTAACACCTGTGACGGGTCGGTAGAACCGTTTTAGGGTTATTCTTTTAACGCGAGTCCGTTGACATTTTCCGGGGGAAATTATACGGTTTTACTGTAAGCGTGTACGAAAAAAAAAAAAAATTCCGTTCCATTATTTATCGTTCAATCATTCGACATCGCGTGTGGTGTTGCGCGATCTCACGTTTTCGGTGACCTTAACCTGACTCTTAACCTGACCTCGGCCGAAAACAGCACGCAACCGGTGATAAAATACTTCAGTCACTCACCCGCAGTTTTCCTTTTTCATCTCGCACTCGTTCCGGTACAGTTTGTTGTCCGATCCGCACACGAAATCTTTGGTTTTGTCGCATTGTTGGTGACACGAGGCCGTTGTCGGACAGTGGTGCGGCGGCACGGGCACGACTTTTTGCCCGCACGTGTTCATTTTCAGATCGCACTCCGACCTGTGTAAAACATACGCGCGTCAGCAAAAACAAGCGAAACACAACCGTCGGTTCAGCACAATCGGTTTTCGAGTATTCGCACGAATCACAAATATTTCGAACGCGGAACGGTTAACGGATTGCTGATATTTTTGATTCGTCCGTTTGGATTCAAATATAAATCCCTACATTGACCGATAAATTTCCACGTACAGACATTACGAGTATTCATTACGGCTTCGTGACATTACTTGTCGATCCCACTCCCTTCACACGTGGATTATGGTTGTATTGATTATTATAATAATACAACGACAGTGGTTCGTAATGAGTTTTCAGTGACCCGCGAGGACCGAAAGAGGTGTTAAAGTTTTGCTTGCCCAAGATTCATCGGAAACGGTTGATGGTCCACGACTCGAGCGCACGCATGGCGTGCGCAGACCTATATTTCGGGGGGTGCCTACGTTTATTTTGGGCCCTATCTTAAGAAAACGTGTACCTATTTAAATCATTATAATTTATTGTTAGCTAAACAAACGTGACTAATTTCTTATGCAATATTAGTCCCGATGACCTTATGTTTTCCTTGAATCTCGTAGATTTTTTTCGGATAGTTTCGATTATTTATTATTTGCATTTCTGTTGACAGCTGTTATGTTGTAGCTGTTACGTTATCGTGTAATAAGTCTTTGCACGAAAATTTAGAAAATTTAGTTTTATTTCATTTATATTATGACACCCGGCAGGCAATACTTCAAAGTTCAAATACAAATTAAGTACATATATATATATATATATATATATATATATATGCATACAAGATATTTCACAGAGATTAATAAATTGATAAGTAATAATTATAATATAGCTAAAAAATGTTTTTAAGGCTAAACAATTTTGTTTTTTTTTTTTTTTTTATTACGAAACATAATTATGTTTTTTACCAAATATTTTAGAATTAATTACATTTAATTCGAACATCAGTTGAAATACGGGACCCTTACTTTTATACTTAAATTGTATGCCCCCTCCCCACTTACAACATTTCGGTGGGTGCCCCCCTTCTCCCGGTGCGCACGCCTATGAGTACATGTCGAGTTACGCGCTTTCAGAAGCCGGTAATAGTGCACGCATTTTAAGAGGTCCTCGAAACGTTTCGCTCGATTATTGAGATTTGTATTGCGCACGACGTGATATTGTTGTAAACGGTTTTCTCGCCTCGATAAACGACACTGACCTGTACACGTTGCCATCCGAAGCGCACACCGGTTCTTCGCGTTCGTTTTCACAGTTCTGCGGACATTTTTCGTTGGACAACAGCGACGAGCACTTGCCTAAATGTGCCATTTGTATTCCTCTCCTGAAACAAAAATGATGCGTTTAAGTACACGGCACAATCGCAATTCCCGCGATCCGACGAGTGCATATTATTAATGTGATAATGATGTTTATTACGTGCACAGTGCCAGATCTAGCGGAGGTGCGATGCACCGGAACCTCAAGATTTAAGGAGCCCCTAAAACGAAAATCTAAAATTGGAATTGTCAGTTTTGTTATTATTATTATTTTTTTTTAATGTTCATTCGTTGTATTTTGTTCAACAACGTTTAATATAGTAAATTTATAAATCGAAATTTCTAAATGTGTATTTGAAAGTGACGCACAAATATTAAAAAAGAAGTTAGGTACTTTTATAAAAAAAAAATGTATTGTTTTATTTTTCAGGTATCTCTAATTGGTGTTTTCACCCCAGCCTCCCGATCCGGTTCTGCACGTGCAAAATATCGTTTTTACTTACAAACAAGTGGCTTGGTCTAGTTGGCATTGGTTCTTGTACGTCTGCGCGTCGTTTCCGCAGATCGGGTCCGCTTCGTCGGGACATTGTACTTTGTTGCATTTGTTAATCCTGGACCTGCACTTCTCCAAGTCTACTTTGGTCACCTTCTTCTTGGTCTGTTGCCTGGAAAAATAAACATTGATTGTTGTTCACGTTTATGATAAAATACTGAAAATAATATGACGTTTCAGCTTAACGCGTCGGCGCACAGGTGAGACGTTTACGGAAGGAGCAAGGCGCAATATTGTTAACTCTGGGAGTTCTTTTCAACTTAATTTTTTGGTAAAAATTAAAAAAAAATATTACTTTAGTACATCAAAGGAAGATCATTAGAAGTTTAATCCGGTATATTTAATCATAATACGCGAAATTTTTTTCGCAATTCAGCAGTTATGTTACTAACAAAATAAAATTAGACGTACAAATAAACGTTATCCATCTAAAAATTATATATTTAAAAAAAAAAAAAAATTCGGGTGCAGAACGGGAAGCGTTCTCTATATATACGGGAGAGCCCTATAGTTGTGCACATGCAGAAATCACGGTCTGGCAAGAGACGTAAGAAATTCCCTTGCTGAAAACGGTCCTGCAATATTTTTGATAGGCCTACGGTTGTAAACTATCGAAGTGCTCTTACCCGCAGTTGAGCATTTTCATCTCGCATTCGCTGCGATACACGTGGCCGTCCGAGCCGCACGTTAACCTTTCCTTCTCCTTGTCGCAGTTCACGGGACACGCGTTGGCCGAGCCCACCCGGTTACGTTCTTGGCTCAAACAGAATGCCATGGGTACTTCGAACACATGCTTGCCGCAGTTCTTTGACTTCATGCGACACGCGTTGCTGTAGATGTTTCCGTCCGAGCCGCAAGTGGGCTTCGACACTCGCCAACATGACTCCCGACAGTGCCTGGTCGTTTGGCAGTGTTTTTTGGACGTCCTGACCACTCCTTGTCTGCCGAGAAACAAAACCTTAAGATTAACACCTTCTAAATTAGATTATTTGATTTTCGGTGCGCTAGTGATTTTGGTTAATTTTTTTTTTCAAATAATATTAAAATTAATAGGTTTTGATAGAAACTGCTGGCTTTTGCTATCATTATTAACATACTCTTTCAGACAATATACGATGTATCATATTCACTTTTAGGAGATTACTTAAATAACCAAAACTATGAAGACATTTTTTTTTTTATGTTTACACATTGCGAGTTATAAGAGTTGTATATTTATATCAATCCGAGGATTTGTGCTATACGCAAGTAAAAATTTGTAATTCACAATTTCGATTTTCGAATATTTTCTTTTTTATTTCAGACCATTGAAATTATAGCTATTTGTTAACCGTAAGTTGTGTTGGAGTCCTACTTACGAGGAGTACTGATTCCTACACGCACTAATAGTTTAGGCAAATAGTTAATCTAAGATTTGTTGTTATAATTAGTACAGAGTTTCGTTAGATCGAAAATGGTGGCTGGCTGATTTTAATCTTTGATGATTATTTTCTAAAATTAAATGTTCTTTTCCAACCAATCATATATTCATCGTAAAATGTTTATGTTTACAATCAATATATGCTTATTTGTGTTGCAGATATAATATAACTACCTAGCAAAAATAATTGAAGTCGTTACATTTTCATAATTCTTAAAAATAAGTTGTGAAAAATAAGTTGTAAGTATAAATTTGCTTATACGTAATCCTTAAACTTGTTACACTCAATAGATGAAGTATAAAAGTCATAGATACTATGTATTATAATAAATGTGTACTAAAAATTAATTATGTAAACTAGAATGAGAAATGGACATGTATATTTGACTATTTAGGATGTTATGATTCTAAGCTAAACGTGCCTAAGGTAAAATAAAGTGTATTCATTATTATTTGTTAGTTACAATAATAATAAACAGGTAACTGAATTCTTGGAATTTTATTGCTATTGGTAGTTGGTTCCTATTTATCTAATACGATATTTTTATCGATAAACTAATTTATTTTTATGTGTTCTAATTTCAGTAATAACTTGTCTCTGCAATCAACGTATAACTTAGTATGTTTAAAAACTTTTAACCAGTGTTTCTTTCAGACCTTTTATCCTGGGAGGGAGGTAGGATATGTGATATGCCATAGGAGTAAATAATTAATAAATAAATACATTTGTTCAAGGAGTATACATCTTTCTTCAGGGGGGGAGGTAAAATCAACCCGGGTCACCCCCCTGAAATAAACACTGGTTTTAACAGTTGTTAAGCACTAGTGCTGCGATATATTGAGATTACATTAGTGTAGTTGTAGACTGTTCCGAAATGTCCGTGTGGAGGAGGATCGTTTAAACGTTTACGTTTATGTGGTGGGCTAACGACGGATTATTTTTTTTAAATGCACAACACGCACGCGGGTCGCCTCGCGAAGATATTTATCGCGAGCGGCGTCCGGTCGGATTACAATTAGGTACCTACATTATTTTATTGGGTCATCTTCTCCCAGGGAGACTTGTGTTCGCAGATGATAGTTACGCGCGACTACAAAGTAACGTGTACATTTATGTGTGCACCGGGTGTGCGAAAAGCGTTCGAACTTACCCGCAAGTGAACAGTTTCATCTGGCATGTGTTCCTGTAGACGTTGCCGTCGGACCCGCAAACCGGACCGTCCATGGGCGCCTGGTCGCAGTTCACCGGGCAGTTTTCCCTGTGGGCCGATATGTTGCTGCATGGTCCCAAGTGCGACATCGACGTGCCGACCCTGTGCACAAGAAACGGGTGAATTAAATGCAGTGCACGCAGCAGGGACTCCGCATCACGTGTGTTCATGTCGGGCAGAGTTGCCTTACAAGTGGTCAGAGTGCGGTCTCTCAGATAAGCCGCATTATTTTCGATTTTACCAGTTTTACTACGGGTTTCCGGAAGCGGATCCGTTTCTCTGGACCATAAATATTACTGCGGGTTTATCCTATAGCTTCGACATAACAGTTCGACGCTACTGAGCGTAAGCACTTGCTCGGCAACAGTGCTCGAATCGAAAAATTAAAAGGAGAGCGACGTAACGACTTGAACAAAAGAGCGTACACGGAACTTAATTTTACCCCATTCATTAGGGGTACGGTACGGTTTTTTTTTTTTAAAACAATTCGATTGCCGCGTATAGTCGCATCGTGTCACGTTCGACTCGAATAATATTTTTTCGTTTTGTTCAGCGCGTCATACGGGGCAGTCCGTCGTACGCTGCACACGAATATCATACGTATATTTACCGTTGAAATGTGCGCATAATAATGATAATAATAATGATAATATTACTAATAATAATAATATTATTATTATTGCGTACATTGTTTTCGTTCAAAACCTGTCGGATGTATTGTATACTGACCTACAAATTTCCACTTGCATCATGCACCTGTTCAGGTACGTCCGGCCGTCGGTGCCGCACACCGCGTCCTGTTCCTTGCCGCAACGGTGTTCGCAACTCGATCCGTAGGCACGCAGACACTGCGTGGGGCTGTCCGCTACGGTTATGCCTGCAGTGCACACGCGCGGTAAAAAACCAGAGCAGTCGGTGAGTATAATTTGGTACCAATAGGCGGTCGAACGTTTTCATCGCCGACGATGGCGGTATTAACAATAGTAACGATAGTAATAAAAAGAGCAATAATAATTAGTAATAATAAATCGACTGCCTTTTTTCACCTTTGCCGCAAGTCTTCTTTTTCAGCTCGCACTCGTTCGGATAGATTACACCGTCTGAACCGCACACCGGTTCCTCGGAACTCCCCTGCGGACATATTCTGGGGCACCCGGAATCCCTGGCTCCGGACGCGCCTGAAACGAAACATAATTTTAATGATCGATACGTCACAGACGTATGCGTGCGTTGCACCGGACCGCGAACACGAACGGGACGTTTCGTTTTCAGCATGGCACGATTTCCCGCCCGTTATTACGCATCCGTGCACGTACATGGATATCGTTGTTACAAACGGACGTTTTCGCGTTAGGAACAGAAACCGATTATTACACGGACTATACACCGTCCGCTAGTATATTATTATGGTAAACGACGCGTAAGCGACACGTTTGGTCAATCGAAAATAATATCTTGGTGACTGTGATTTTCGATTTCCGATATCAGTACCACTGTGTTATGTAGGGGGTTACTTTGGTGGGTAGTAATATATTGTAAAATAATTTTTCGTTTATCACTATAATTATAATCATTATGATGCACTTTAACAGGTGGACAATGGTATATTACAGAATATTCACTAGATAAGAAATAATATTATATATTAAACTGATAACAGGAACTGGTATCTTTAATTTTTTTCCAACAAAGAACCGGAACAGATAATTTGTTTTCTGTGAACCGGTAACGATAAATTCAATGGGTCCCATTCCCTGTTTAGCGTTACTCTCGAACGTTTCTCTCGAGGAAATCCTTGCATTCGTACCGCAAACGTTACACACAACCGACTGCGTACGGTCAGAACGTATGACTCAAGACTGGCGATCGATCGCGGAGAGTCGTGGCGACATGAAACTTACGCAAACGGTTGGAAGGGGGGGGGGGGGTTGAGTAGATCGATAAATAAATCTCTGGGTGCAGAACACTCGATATGTTGTGCGGCAAGTCATTACCGCGCGAGCCGTACCCGCTCACATTCGACAGAATAACGGTGTACAGCGAAAATCACAAAACTAATAAAGCCATCGGGGAGTCGTCAAGTGTTGACGACGGTTTATTCCGACGTTTCGATGACACGAGGCTCCCGCGAAAATTCGGTATTTCGTTTCGTTTCACCGTTTCAGTCAACTGGGACGGACGGAAGAACCGTTTCTCGCGAACGTTGTTCGAAGCGTTTAGCTGTTGCGTTGACGGCATACCATACCGCACACAGTGTACCAGCGACCCCGAAAGTGTGTTCCACGGGACCAGGCATACTCGCGGTGATGGAGGGGGGTTGATCCCCTCCGCCCGTTGAGGATATTTTTACGTACATTGAACCGTAGTCATCATTTCATGAAAGTTTCTGTTTTGATTTTAACCGTTTTAGCAATGCCGATTATTTCGGTTTTACACGATTTTCTTTTGAGTTTTCGCGTATTTTCTGCCTACCGTCGATCTGTGGTTGTAAATGCAGCCATTGACAGAACACATTTACTGACTAGTCAGCTGTTCAAGCTGTTCGGACGTTTGTTGACGTTAATTGATTTTCGATCCTGGTATCTTCGATCATGGATATTCCAACGTGTATTATTTTTATATTGAATTTTTCCAAACATAACATGTATGATTTTGAACCTCTCCGTTCGATTCCTGCGCACGGACTTGCGCGTCCGTTGTGGCGCGCGCCGTACGGGAACCCATATTGTAACAATGACGTTTCAAGGTGCGCGAAGGATTAATTGACGTGACGGGGCGTTTTCGCGGATGACGGGCGTGGCTGGAAATCCTGCCCGGTTTTGTGCAGGAAGCGTGACACGAGCGGGCGCCGATTGATGAAGATCTCGATCCGTTAACCTTAAACGTTAACACGTTAACTTTACACGTTACTCGTGTACACGCACGTTTCAAATACGCCAGGCGCACGTACGTGTACGCGGGACGAAAGCAAAATTATACGCTAGCGATAAAATTGAAAGCAATCGTTGATTCCGTTCGTCGTGCCTTGTCTCGCCCTCAGTAAAATCGTACAGTATGTAGCAGCTGGTTCCAAACTCTTACGAACCTTAGGAAACGGTATGTGTCTCGTATTGGAACCCCAATATCTCAGACTCCGACTTGACCATGGTGCACAGTTGTTCAGATTATAAAGCCTCTTTTATAACATTTTATTATGTCGTAACGTGATATTCAGTCACAATCGTTCAATAAGTTTATTCTGCGAGGCTTGGAAAAAAACTTTTCCAAAACTCTTCACCTCGACATCGCGATGTATATTGAACGAAGCTAAACCGTTCAGTTGATCTTCACACATTGTCGATCTGAGGGATGTTGAAATGGAACGTTCATTCGTCGCTGTTGTTTCAGCCTGAAGGACCTGTGGGAGAGCGACTGCCCCATTTTTCCCCCCTTCTGAAGACGCCCCTGGTGACAGTGCCTTGTTTCTGCGGCAATTACACGTCGCACGTAGCTACGGGGGAGGGGGGGTTGCAACTCGTGAATTTTCCACGGACTAGAGTTTAGATTTTCCAAATTCAGAATATCATCAAAATATAAATAGGTACATATTTTACAAATTCATTGACATATTGTAAATCAGAAAAATAATTCTTGCACTATGCGGGTACTTATGTGCAAAGTAAAAATTATTATATTTTCAGACTGGTTGGACGTCCCCTTCCTACCACGTTCACCGGCACTTTGGTAAAATGAGCCACCGATTCGGCAATTTAATAAGAGCTTGTCGAGTGCCCTACTCTAGAAAAAAAAAACTAAAATTACGTTATTACTGTTATTTTATTTTTTTTAACCAAAATTAAGTTTGTGGGAGCCCGTTGATAATCAGGAGGGTTGTAACCATGAGCCAGACCGACATCTCACGCACAGGTTTATGCATTATCAACATTATCATGCTGGATTTAGTGAGGACGTGCAGGGTTACAATGCACCGGGGCCTCAAGCTCTATAATCGAAATCTAAAATTGAAAATTGTCTGTTTCATTATTTTTTTTTTTGTTTTTTCGCGATTCGAATATTTTTTGATTTTATGTTGTTGCATTTAAATTAAATAAACTATTGGAATATATAATCGTATATATATTGAGCAAAATTTTTTTTTGTAAGGGCCTTCAATTAGTACTTGCATCCCGTCCTCCTGAGACTTAGATCCGGCACTATCTAGAGCGTGCATATGTTGTCATCCGGGTTATGTTGTATTGCTTTTATAAATTAAATATTTGACATGTTTGTCAAATTTATAGATAACACGAACCGGATTTAGACTCGAAATTAGTAAGCAAAGCTATTTGACGAGTACGACCTAAAATACTGTGTCCTCTAAACTACAAATGTGTGTAGGATTTTAGGTAAGATTTTGGGCGCTACAACCCCCACTGATGCTTTTTGTATGGAAATATGTAAATGGTAACAATTGAATTAAAAAGTGTAGCCCTTAAAATTAAATGTATTTTAAGCCCTGGTACATATACACGTACGGCTTATACGCTTTCCGTGCTTAGCGCTGTTTCAAGAAGAATCGAAACCGTATATGCGTAAAACGAACTTCAAATCATTTGTCAAAATCTAAACGTGATATATATCGTATAGAACGCTAAGAATATTTTGCATGCAATTTATTGTGTACTAGATTTTACACGCGTGGTGTGCATGTAGTGTTTTTTTTTTTTACCAAAAGATTTATCACGTATAGGTCTTAATATTATTTATTTGTTATAAATTCAACGGAAAAATTTCCTTTAACAAAAAGTAATACAATTAACACACCACGTACGTTGTGAAGACATACAAGGATTTCAGAATACTTATGCATGTTTTTGTGTCTGTACCTACGTTACGAGGTAAGAATTATTAGCATAACAATACGATTAAATACTTCTCTCGCCGTAATTTGTTTACACTGTACATCCTTTTTTCGAGCGACAATATCCATAAATAAGCGTTTTCGGGCATATCCATCCGCTGCGACCATATTATTGCACACTATATCAGATTCAATTTTATTTCTCGGCGTAATATTCGAAAGAAGAACTGTATAGTTTTATTTATTATAATTTTGTCAACGGATTAACAATACGAGTCGTTACAATATATTTCACTTGAATGGGTTTGTTTATGTTGTAGAGTTTAGATACACGTGTGTTGAATGTACTGACAAAAAATTAAATAATACACCGTGTCATTGTGTGCAAAAAATAGTACATATATTACATTTTAACATTGCTGTTTTTAAGCACAATAATATTCGTATGACACATCACACATGTCGCGTGGGACAATACAATATCTGTTGTGAAAAAATTTACAACACATAGTAACTATGTATAACTCAAAGTTAAGATATTTTTGATATTTAAAAGAATGCACGTTATTTAAGTCCATCGAGATACTTTTCAGTTAAACATTTCGTTTACTCGTAAATAAATAATTATCGAAATCGTGAAATATTTCAATCATGTTTCTAAACTGTTCTTACGAGTCTTGGTTAATAGTAGATATATTTTAATTCCAAACAATTTAGATTTCATTAAAAAAACGAAGAACAATGTTACGGTGCTCAGTTTGTACAAAAATGATTCCAAAAATTTTTATAACCTTCTTATTGAAAAATGCTTTAAAACTGTATTTATATTTCTATTAGAAAAAACCTACTCTTTTTTTTTATACCTATTTGCTTTTTTTGTATAAATTTATTGCCATTTTGTATCGTAATTTTTATGTTAAAAAAAGCATGTATTTAAATAAAATTATATAGTTGGTTACTCATTTTGATTAAAAATCTATAGAACTCCTGTGCAAAATAAAAAATACTACATATATAGGTAGTTAAACGCATATCTATACACATATAATGTTCAATATGTACTTTTTTTTCATTTAGTATGTAGGAAAAATATTCATATAATAACGTTTTAATCCTATTTATCACGATTTTTGTAATTCCACAGCAAAAATGTGCAACGTATTCGGGTTGTTTCGATCAAAGATGTTATATTTGCATGGATTTTTTACGTCGGCTTATATTTGAAAAGTAGTTCCCATACCATCGGATTATGATACGCACGGGATCGAAAGAAAAAAAACCAATATTTATAAAAAGCATTTTTTTTCTCTCTTTATATTCGTACGACGTCGAGAAAAG